TTCTTAACGGAGAGAAAAAAAAAAAAGGACTTCAAACTCTGACTCACCTGATATGATGTCTGTGGTTTGATTTTTCACCATCTCAGGAATATCATTAAAGGATTTATAGCCCTAGAAAATAATTCAAAGTAGATTGATGGACATAGTGAATGGGAGGGCAGTGAACGAGTACCCATTTTCTAGCTTAGTTTGGAGTAGAGAAGCAAACTAAAAATGAAACAGTCATCTTAAGGAGGAAATTATCACTATATGGTCATTAAAAGACTACAGAAAAGTTCCCCTTTAAAGAAGATTTTCTTTAAATTGTATCCACTGAAGTTCCCATGAAAAGTTTGTTACTTAAAAAAAATTTTTTGGGGGTGCCTGGGTGGCTCAGTCGGTTGAGCGTCCGACTTCAGCTCAGGTCATGATCTCGCAGTCCGTGAGTTCAAGCCCTGTGTGGGGCTCTGAGCTGTCAGCATAGAGACCGATGTGGGGCTCGAACTCACATGTGAGATCATGACCTGAGCTAAAGTCGGACGCCCAGCCGACTGAGCCAGCCAGGTGCCCCAAAAGTTTTTTACTTTTAAGCTTTTAACTTATCTACATCAGCATTTCTCAATGGGGGGAAATTTTGTCCTCCAGGGGACATATGGCAATGTCTGGAGACATTCTGGTTATCACAGCTGTGGCACTGTGTGAGCAGGGTCCCCTACGACACACAGGACAGCCCCATAACAGAGAATTATCCAGCCCCAAGTGTTAATAGTGCTGAGGTTAAGAAACACCTGATCTGTACAGTGTACCATGTGCAGATATAACGTGAATTTCCAGAACTGGAATCGTAATTTCCAATGCAATTATGAAGCAAAACTAGAGATCTCGTCTTACAGAAAACAATAATGCCCCAAAACACAGCTTATAGAGAATATAAATTATAGTGAGGCTCCAGTGAAAACAAAAACAGCAATGTCAAGCTCTGTCATTTTGGGGCTAAATCTGTGACAGGAAGAGGTCATTACTTCCCTCCAAGCAGCTCAACTAAATACACAGCTTTTCCTCTGGAAGAGGTTTAATTTGTGTTTCTTTACTGTCTGCTGGTGTATTTAGCCAACTGCTAAGGAATACGATATCGATTACAACTTATCATGGACTGAATGTCTGTGTCCACCTCCCCCGACAGTCAGCACCGTATGTTGAAATCCTAACCCCCCCACGTAAGTAATGGTATTAGGGGGTGGGGCTTTGGGGAGGTGATTCAATCATGAGGATGAAACCCCGTGGATGGGATTAGTGCCTTTATAAAAGGGACCTCAGACAGCTGTCTTCACCACATGAAGATGCAATGAGAAAACAGCCATCTGCAACCTGGAAGGGTCTCTCACCAGAACTCGATCATGCCGGCCCCCTGATCTTGGACATCTAGCTGCCAGAACTGTGAGAAATAAATTTCTCTTGTTTAGAAGCCAACCAGCCTATGATATTCTCTTACAGCAGTCCAGCGTAAGTGACAGACTTTATAAGATTTATGGTGCCAGCAAGTTTCCAGTTTAGTCTAGAAACACGAATGCCGTAAGAAGAACATCTACCAATTCTGTTTCCTCGACGGTGACTAAGTTCGCAGCCTGTTTGGATTACTGTCCACCTGACCTCCTACATTTATCTGCAGTTGGACTTGTGGAGGCCCCCCACTGTAAGAGGTTTTACGGCCAGAGAGGGCCTTACAGATCTCCTGGTTCAATTCCCTCATTTAACAAATGAGGGGACACCAGGACAAATGACCAAGAGTTTTTAATGACTTGTTTAAGGGGACACTTAACTTTGTCAGTAGATGAGTATTTAACAGATACCTGATGATCTTTTTATACCCCCTGCTAAAAGACATAGAGGCAAGAATAAAACTGTTCTCTCCCTTTCCTGCAGGCCCCAGCATTCTTGTTGAATCATAATCTACAATCTATTGTGCGCTCAATATATAGGTTGAATAAATAGCAATAATTGATAGGCTACCAGGGAAATGATGATGCCCTAGACCAACGTGGTCCCTGCCATTTTCAGGGTTTACACTCCAGTGGGACAACAGAAACATTAAAGCAATAATCACAGTCAGGAGGATGTTAACAGAGAATATCTGCTGTACCGTAGGAACGTATTAAAAAGGGTTTGACTTGGTCAAGATGAGCAGGAAAGGTCTCATTAAGAAAGTGATACCGAGGGGTGCCTGGGTGGCTCAGTTGGTTAAGTGTCCGTCCGACTTGGACTCAGGTCACGATCTCATGGTTCAGGAATTGGAGCCCCCGGTTGGGCTCTGTGCGGACAGTTCAGAGCCTGGAGCCTGCTTTGGATTCTGTGTCTCCCTCTTTCTCTACCCCTCCCCCACTCGCACTCTCTCTCTTTCTCAAAAATAAATAAACATTAAAAACATAATAAAAGAAAGAAGGAGATACTGAATGCTTTAAGTAGTTAGTATTTAGCAGCATAAGTAGTTCGGAGAGGGAGAGGGAGAAAGGAGAGAATGGTGGGCATAGCTCACAGCATGTGCAACTGTGCAGAAGGGGGAGGAGACAAAAGCAAGGGGTGTGACTCCCAGCACAGTGGGAGGGACCTTGCCTCAGAGTCAGTATGGGGTTCAGCACCACCCCTAGCAAATTCTGAATCCCAGGAAGGCGAGAACAGGTTTTGCTTTCTACCTCCAGCATGGTGCTGTGCACACAACAGATGCTTAATCCCAATTTCTCGAAGTGAAAGGAGCAAAATTATCTGGAAGATAACAGTTATGTCCTTCTTGGCAAACCCCTTTCCAAATTTTCACTGCTTTTTTGCGGTTACGTATTTTCTTATGTACTTGTCTACTCTTTAAAGTGATGTCAAATAAACTACAGTATAAACTACTGTATGTTTTTTCCCCCAAAATACGTACCTGTTGAACCAGGCTGGACAAATTTGTTTGAAGAATATCATTAATCTTATCAATTGGCTTATCCAAAGATGGGAGCTAAAATTTGTAAAACAAAACATAAGGCAAAGTGGTTACTCCCAACATTATTTGTCATAAAAAGGAATCATCTTATATCCAAAGTCTCTATAGTCTCTTAAGAGACTTAAGTCTCTTAAGTCTCTTAAGTCCCCAAATCTCTATATTTAACTTGCTTTTGAACAATAGAATATTTATTGGGGGGGGGGAATACATTTAGCTCAGGGTGGCCTCTACAAGCATCAAGTTTTAGATGTTTGGTGGGTTTCTGTTGCAGTTAGCTCAAAATGCAGGAAAGAAATCTAACACAGAGCGAATATGGATGACCTCACAATTTCAGGTACTGAATACTGTTGAACAAAGTTGTAAATAATACGGGCAATAGTTATACTGGTGAGTGGTCTGGAATGAAGTTTCCATTATAGCATCATACCTGGGTTTAAAGTGTTCTGTCTCTTGCCAACACTGAGACAAACATCATGGACCTTCTGACATGATGTACCAAGAAGGACACAATATCACTCTTGTGATACCCCCGGGAAACATGCATAACTCAAATCTAATTACGGGGGAACACCAGATAAACTTAAATCATGGGTCCTTCCATAAAACAAATGGCCTGTGGTCTTCAAAATTGTCAATGTTAAAAAAGAAGAAGATAAGCTGGGGACTGTCCAAGATTGAAGGGCCTAAACAGACATGACAAGTAAAGACCAGGTGTGACTCTGGACCGGTGTCTAGACTGGAGAAAGAAAAACAGCTGTCAGTTTTTTAAAAACATCCACAAAATTTGAATATAAACCATGGACTAGTCAGGAGTCTTGGGTCAGCATTACATGTCCTAATTTTGATAACTGTCCAAAAGGTTGTGTACGTTTAGGAAATGCACGGAAATAGTTAGGGGTAAAAGGACATATTGTCCACAACTTATCGCCAGATGATTGAGAAAAACACAACATGCATCATACTTTATATGTATACATGATAATGAGTAGACGGTAGATACACAAATGGAGAAACAAAGAAAATATAAGGAAGCAAATGAAGCAAAATTTGCTTCCATCCTTGCAAATTTTCTGCATGTTTAAAAAGACAACAGAATAAAAAGTTACCTCCCTCCCCAAAAGACTTGAGTTCAAACAATTTCAATGCAAGTGAAAATCCCAGTCTCTGAAAAGCTATTCAATGGTGACCACAGTGATGGTGGTAGATATGTAGACACAGAGGCTGAAGATGAAGAGTCTGCGTAGTATTGGCCCATGAAACAGGAAGGTGAGAAGAGTAGATTTTATATATTAAAATATTATTTTAGAAAAAATGTGGCATGTATATACCGCTATCTCGATAAATTAAAAATCATGAGTAGATGTGATTATTTATTCTGTATCTTGGGACTTTATATTTTCAAGATGCTCCAAATTCTTTTTTTCCCCCTAATTTTCTCTTTGGAATAGGAGAATTACTTCTATTTAGATATAAATGGTTAATGTAGGAGGCATGCCCTTTGAAAATATATTTTAATTTTTAGAAGTCTACAAAAACACATGCTTCTTTCTTTCTTTCTTTCTTTCTTTCTTTCTTTCTTTCTTTCTTTTAATGCTTATTTATTTTTGAGAGAGAAAGAGAGAGAGAGAGAGAGACAGAGAGGGAGCAGGAGAGGGGCAGAGAGAGAGGGAGACACAGAATCCAAAGCAGGCTCTAGGCTCTGAGCTGCAAGCACAGAGCCTGATGTGGGGCATGAACCCACAAGCTGCGAGATCATGACCTGAGTCGAAGTCGGATGCCTAACTGACTGAGCCACCCAGGTGCCCCTCTTTTTTACTTTTAAAGCTGAATTCATTCTGGTAGCTTCCATCAAATCAATTGCAGAGAACACTTAAAAGGGGTTTCCCATTATCCTTTCTCTCCTGCTGCAGCCATGCCCATGTGGCGATCAGATAACCAGGACAGGCTGACAGACACCCAGGCCACTGTCCACTGGACAGGTGTACCCACACTGAGTCCTGCACAGTTGTTCCAATGACACTGCTCCGTAGCAGAGTCACCTCCTCACCTGATCCATGTTGGTATTGTCATCCAGCTGGCTTAGAGACGTTCTGATGTTGTTGCAAGTGGTAGCCACTGGAGGTGCAGAGCACATGGGGTCATTGAGTGATTGTTCCAGGTCCCTTTTAACGTCACTGAGGCTGGTGTTCAGTTGTGCGCTTGACTTTTTCAGCTCCTTTAAGGTATTGTTCACATTCAATAGGGCTTCTTTGGTCTCTTTGATTGCTGTAGGAACACACCTTGCTTTAGAACAGAGGCACCCACTAGGCTGCCAATGGCAAAATTCCTTCTCATCTACCAAGTACCCTAAAGGGACTTGAGGCGAACTTCTAGATGACACTGGAAGGCAACCAGAGGAGCCTAAGAGGGGAATATAGGGACATGCTTGGCTTCCTCAGCCAGCAACTCCAACCAGCTCAGCTTTCCCGCCTGCACGCTTTTCAGACAAAAAGACAGAGCAAGAACCAACTCAGGGACACAACAGGGCATGTAGGTGTAGCATTAAGTGGCCTGCACAGGAGCAGTAACGGCAGGAAAAGGGTCTGTAGCCCCAACAAGCTGGCATCTTCAGCCCCGAGCAGTTTTAACGCACATAAACACTGATCACGCCCGGACCTAGCTTTGCTAGGAATATTCAAATAGCTGGAATCAAACACAGAGCAACAGCTCAAGAACGTGGTTTTGGATTCAGGCGGGTGTAGGTGCAGATCTCAGCTTTGCTATTTTCTGGTCACCGGAAACTGAATCCTGAATGTTCTTTAGCAATCTCCTCATCTGAAAATGGTGGAACCACCACCACAGTCATCATGAAAGGTGGGGGTTGGATCGATCGGAAGGAGGTCCTCCATGGCAGGGAGTCCATCGGTTCTATGTGGGCAGCCTCACAGCCTAGGACACGTGCTTGCGTTAGGAAATCCTTGATAACTGTTTGCTATCCTGGTTTTTCTGAGCTGTGGAGCTCTGTATTCATGGCCGTGCAAAAGAGTATGGCAAAACACACTGCACATCACACAACACATACCTCACATTTTAATGTGGTTTACCCCTCATAGTCCTTTCCATTTAGAGGTAAGGTAAATTTTTAAGGCAAGAAATAAACAATAACCTAAAATGATGGATAGTAAAATAAATTGATGGTCCAGAATACGTGTGTCCATTGAAATGAGGTCTATAGACATTCTGGGTTATGGGCACTATTCTATCAGACCCGAGAAAGACTCAGAGGTAATAAATATACATTTTTCCCCAAAGGCTTCGAAGCATTTTATGTCTATAAAGTATCTACTGGATCTGGGAGTCATTCCAGACCTAGCAAGACCACGTATATTATGCATCTGAAGTCACTGGAAAGATATTTCAGATTCTCAATCTTGGTTAATTAGCATTTTACCAGCTCATAGCACATTTCCTTTGTAGGTCCTGATCTGAAGCTCAAATAAGATTTACACAAATCAATATGCATGTTTCTGCTCTCTGCAAAGCCACTAAACACGGAAAGCTGCAAAGAATTTTAAGCAAAAAAATTGTCAAAGCATCGCTTCTCAGCCTTTTGGCTAAGATCCAGCGTAGTATCTATTCTTAGCAGCTTCGTATCAGATATGTCCTCTGTCCGAGGGTAATAGATTAAATGGATTTTTAGAGCAGGGAGATTGAAGAAGGGTTTCTTCTGTCTGCTCCATACATTGACCTGGTCCTGCATTACCTCCAGGAGAGTGACCCCTCAAGGACAAAAATATATTGTCAAAGCAGTTTATTAAGCATACTTTTAAAAGCTCTGGCAACACCAGAAGCTGAACTGTAATTTACTCAGGCTGTCTTAAAGACAAATAAAACTTTAACCCTATTGCAGGAAGCACTGAAGAGAAAAATAAAATCCGCTTTAATTGCCTTTAATCCAAAGAGAATTCTAATTCAAACATTGAAGATTGGGCAAATGATGGGCCACAAGTAAAGGTACATGCCAAGCACATTACATCATTCGTATATTTTTGCACAGAATTTACCATCACATAATTTTGGAGCTGGAGGAGATCTTGGAAGACCATTTTCCAAATGCCTGGCATCATCCCGTGGCCACAGCACACTCGAACTCCAGATTCCTAACTCCTCTCCCAAAGTTACTCTGTGCTGTCTTCCCACGGACGGCACAGAAACACCCTACATCTTAACACTCTCAAATGTACCCAAATACCATCTAGTGCAGACCAGGCAACACAGGCTTTATAGGCAGACCCACATCTGAATCCCAGTCCACCATTTCCCAGGTACCTGGTCTTGGACAAGTTACATCATCTCTGAGCCTTACTGTCTTGAGTTGGTACAATGGAGGTGACTCTACCCATTGCACAGAGCTCTTGGGAGCACTAAGAGGGTTTAGGAAAAGTATCTGCTATGTGGCAGGCCCTTAACACTCAAAAGCTTTCTAAATACTACTTTATAGCCAATCATCTCTACAAAAACTTGCTGTGGACTTTGGTGGTTGGCATCTCGGAAACCATGTCACCTGTCTCCTGCGCTGCAGCAGACTTGTGTTTCAATAACATGGGTCCCACCTCTAGCTTAAGGAGTGGGGCCTGACTACCTCTAGCCAAACCACTTCCCCTGTGTAGCACTGGTCCACAGATGGCCGTAGAAATCCAGATGGCCCAACTGGAGGGAAATCTGGTTGAGGAGGAGTAGTGATGAGGCTGGTGTCAGCCCTCTTGCAACTACAGGGGGAGTTTGCATTAGAATGATATAGGCATTATAGAGAACAGCTGGGTGGAGAGAATCTCACCACTAGATCAAGCCTTACCTGAAGCCAGATATCAGTTACATGAGCAAATAATCCACTTACTTCGAAGCCAGATAGAGACCGATGTTCTATATGTGTCAGGGAAATGGCACATAGTTACTCAAGAGATATTAAAATAAGACAAGAGAGATGACTGGAGACATCTGATTGTCAACGTCACAGAGCCAGCCCACATCATCTTCAATCCATTGGTGAAGACACACAAGGCTATGATGAGGGGACGTGGCGGATCATCAGCAAGAGCAATGCCAGAGATGTGGGCAGTGGAAGGTTGGCATTTTCCAGGAGTGATGGTTCTCCCAGTGAGGGAATGAGGAGCCAAAAGACCCTTACCTCCTTCCGTAGTCTGATCCTGGTGGTGATGTAATATCTCCTACTAACCACAGGACGGGGCAAGAGCATGCAGGCTCCTTGACAGTGCTGAACCCCCGAATCCACCAACTTTGGAACTGCCATACCTGCAATATCTTGTCCTGTGTGATAGGCTTCCTGTTGTTTAAGCCACTTCAACGATCTTTGGCATTGATAGCACATCAATGGCACCTCCCAAAGATCTCTAAGTGTAAGAACTGTCTGCAAAGTTCCCAAAGCAAATGAAAACAACTGTACCCTGATTTGAATAGATAGATATATCCATAAGGCACATAGTTGCATAAAGCAACTAAAAAAAATCAAATGATTACAGACATTAAAAGTAAAAGATCAGGAAGCTCATGAAGTCAAAAGAAGTTGCCTCGCAACTGAGGCAGGACTACGAAAGAATATAATCCATTTTCTACTCTATAACCAGTGAAATTACAGGATTCCAAACTTGGAAAATGAAGGTAAGGGCTTCAGGCCTTTCTTTATACGTTCCAGAAATGAGAACCTACTCCAGGCCAGACACTCTGCTGGACTGTCCCCAGACACAAGTTAGGGGAACAGAGACATGAGCGATATCAACACGTCTTGCCCTTAAGGAGCTCGTTGCCTATCAAAGGTGGGGGTGGGCAGGTAGGGGGCGGTGCTGTAAATACCACAAATGAGCTGTACGTTTAGGGTCACAAGGTAAGGAGCAGAAATTAGGAGGCTGTCATGCTCTGGGACGGGAAAAGGAGACATGAGGTGAAGCGTGCAGAGAACAGAACACTTAGCTGTGGTTTGGTATGTGGTAAGAAGATGTTGGGAAGGTCCTGTGGCACTTCACACAGAGAAAGCACACGCAGTAAAAGGGTCTGGGAGGGAATGATGCCTTTGGAGACCCACAGAAGAATAACACTGAGGTTCATGGCTTGGAATGGAAGGTTTGGGGGCTGGAGGGTCGAGACAAAAAATGATTGGAATGATAGGCAGGGGCCTGGTATGGAAGGAAGGCAGGAAGGGAGGGAAGGAGGGAGGGAGGAAGGAAGGGGCTACATGTAAAACTTTAAGAAAGGAAGGCAGGAGGCATGGATGCTTGCAGTCACATCCCTTCTCTGGGCCTCAGTTTCCTTGCATTGGTAGGACATGGTTGGTGATGCGGAGAACAGGTGTTGGGCGGGGCGGGGGGGAGCATCTAAGGCATCAACAGCAGAGGTCAGACCTTCAGTTGCAGGTAGACCTTTTGCAGGGCCAAGGAGAGAGCAAGGAAAGACTGATCAGTTGGTTAAAAGTAATCTTACCAACTCCTGGCCTGTTCTGCACATCACCCTGTTTCCATACATCACCTGAGTCTTTGAACTCTTAAGTGGGGGGTGTCAGGGAGGAACGCCAAAACGAGCGGGCATAATTTTCTCACTTCTACACTGTTCCTTCCTTTGTGGCCTGTCTTCTCAGGAATACTGGCTCATGACAGCCACATTCATGGTGGCTGAATGACGAATGTGGCAAGTAGGTGACATTGTCCTCTCTATGAAATACTAAGCACAGACATCTCCTCAACATTTGGAAGCATCTAGGAGAGCTTTGACTCACTGCAATTGAATACGTAGTTTCTTCAAATCAGCACATCTGCTCACTTATATCACTGTCTGTGGTGTCTTAAAACGTGTGCAGATTCTTCTTTCCCAAAGGTGGTTTTTTCCAGGGAAAAGGAAAGAGTAACCAATAGACCCCACCCCCACCCCAGACCTAAAATTCTCTAAGCTGCTCATCTTCTATAGCAAGAGCCCACAAGCTTTTTCTGTAAAGGGGCAGAGAATAAATAGTTAGGCTTTGTGGTCCACGGGGTCCTGCCAATGTTCAACTCTGCTGTCAGCCACAGTGTGAAAGCCACCTTAGATGCCACCTCACCAGAGGAGCGGGGCTGCCTTTCTAGAACTGTATTTACGAAAAGACGTGGCAGGCTCCTATCGGTTTCTGCTGTTGTTATTTCAAAGGACTTTGAGATAATGAGTACAACTTCTCAGGCACAAGCTTCTTAAGCAAACAAACCAACAAGCCACACCATTGCCACCGCGTGTGTCTGGACGTGGCCTGTGGGCATGTCCGCATCCAGGAAAAACGAGAAAAGGGGAGCAGGATCCTGGGAAGCCGGAGACCTCCAGGGGGAATAGTCTCTTGCCCATTTCCGTCACGGTGCTTACCTTCTGCCATGGCTTTGATGTCATCAAGCGCGGGGATCACTTTAGGTCTCAGCTGTTCGTGAATTCCGCCTCCTAGCAATGATTTAACATCTAAATCCCAAGAAGCAGAAGGGGCTATGAGGGTAGGATCCACGAATTTCTGCCCCCCACCCCTTACCTGCATTCTCCTCCCCCTGTGGGATTTCCTTTCCTAGAAAGTCATCCATCTGTGGTCTCGCCTGCCCCGAAGGCCCCTTTTTTTCGTCCTCCACCCCCCCCCCC